TATCCAGAATATATAAAGAACTCAAGAAGTTAAAAAGCAACAAATCAAGTAATCCAATTTAAAAATGGGGTACAGGGCTAAACGGAGAATTCTCAATAGAGGAATATCAAATAGCAAAGAAACACTTAAAGAAATGCTCACTGTCATTAGCCATTAGGGAAATGCAAATCAAAATGACCCTGAGATTTCACCTTACACCCATAAGAATGGCTGAGATCAAAAACTCAAGTGACAACACATGCTGGAGAGGTTGTGGAGAAAGGAGAACCCTCCTCCATTGCTGGTGTAACCTTATACAACCACTTTGGACATGAAATCTTTCTTAGGCAAATTGATCTTGAGTGATTTTTCTGTTTTGAAGAACTACCAACATTAGTCTTTAAAAGATACCGCTTGAGGCCTAACAGTATGTAGATTATACACAAAAAAACCAGTTTATCTAAGCACCTCCCAGAACTTTAGATTCCCTATTGTTTAAACAAGAGAACTAACACTTCCTCTTTAACATCGTGGGAATCAAAGGAGGCCAATGGGTAATTGTACTGAACGGTTCTGCAGTTAGGCAAGTGGCACTGGCAGTGAGTGGAGGTCCAAGAAGCATGCTGAGACTTCAAACTTGGCGTTATATTTCTTGAAGAATCCCCGGGGAAATGTTTTACAGAGAGCTGAACTTAAGAGAGGTGTCAGAGGAAACCTTTCTAATGACTAATCTATACAGAGGCAGATATTAAAAGTAAAAGAAGATCATCTATTGTTTGATCAGATGACTTGGGTGAGCAACAGTTTTCACATTTTTCATGTCCTCTTAATTCTAATAAGACTTGACTCCACAGGACGAGAAATGCATTATCATTTTTAAAAGATGTTTTGACCAAGCTCTTGGCTCTGTCCTGATGTAATAAAACAAAAGAGAAGAAAATGCAAGTCACGAAAAAAAAATTAAGAATTGGCTTACTTCAAAGTTTGCCATGCATTAAAATGTTTGATCTTGTTAAAAAAAAATACTCTTTATCTGGAATAGAAGTTAGAATTACTGTGTCATTCATTATGTAGACTCAGGAACTTTGTTAGCTTCTTAACTTCTCCTAATCCATCATTTGAGGAAAGTGTATAAGCGATTTCAGGTCTAGAGTGAACACCACGGAATTCCAAGTGTTAGGAGTACAGCTGAACATTCACACTCTTCGTCTTCTTGCTACTCAGTTTCCTTATATGCCTGTCTTTGCACATTATTCATAGTACTTCCTCCAGTCCTCGTCCTACTTACCATCCACGTCAGGTAAATGTGAATTAAAACCCTGCACACAGGCATGCCCCTTGCATTTGGTTTATAAGGAACTGGCAGTATGATGATGGGACCTCTCAAATCTGTTTTGGCAGAGTTAGCTCCTGCACAGTCATGATGAGCAATGACTGTGGGATGTAAGGCTTTTTCTACATGTTGATTCAACTGTCATTTTCCCCACATGCATCTGTTAGAACAGCAAAGTTGGAGAAGTGCATAAGTGTGACAGATTTTTTAAAACCTGATTGTGTACCCGTTATATTAATTATCCTGTCTGTCTTTATTTTGCCCTTCTAATAAATTACTGAATGACCTAACTGGTAACATTACATGGCTGGTCCAGACAGCAGAGCCACTTCCCAGTAATAGTGAAACTGGGAGAATATGTTAAAATTAGAATAAGCTTTAAAAAGAATCACACATTCTGACCAAGGTGGTAAAATTAGCTGAAAGATCTGCCAAAGGAAAATGGGAAGTTCTAAGGCACCAGATGTCTCTGGTAGGCTCCAGATTGGGAATTCTCTCTTGCCTTTGAAAGCTTCTTTCAGAAGTATGAGGCTCACAATGCATGTGGTTTGGCATATGGGCTGTTATTTTGTACTTCTAGAGTCTGACTCTGCCTTCTCAGTCAGGACCTCAACTTTAGAAAGCTCCATGGTTATCTTAGGGTACGGGGCTTTCAAGAAAATTCAGCAAAATTCCCTTTCTCTCTCCCTTCCTCCCTCTCCTCTCTCTCTCTCTCTCTCTCTCTCTCTCTCTTTCTCTCTCTCCCTGTGAATGTAAGGGAGTATCTCCATCTTCATTTCTATTTCATTATAAAGACCCAGCACATAGGATACACAGTACATTCTTCCCTTTAAGAAAGTCTTTTTTGGTACAGTTGTGTAGCTTGCTCTTCTTGTGAAACTGCTAACAGTGGAACAGGGCTGTCTCTGACTCTTTTGCCATCTTTTGGAACCCTTATTCCTCATACTGGGTTGTGTTCTCCAAGCCTTATTACGGGGGCTGGAGAGGGTGGGAGGAAGTGCCTAGTCTTACTGCAACTTGATATACCATGTTTGGTTGATATCCATGGAAGTCTGCCTTTTTCTGAAGAAAAATTGGAGGAAGAGTGGATTAGGTAAGGGACAGAAGGGAGGTGGGGAGGAGGACTATAAGAAGAGGAGGGAGAAGAAACTGTGGTCAGGATGTATAATGATGATGATGATGATGAAGATAATGAAAGTCTTTTATAAATTGGGTAGTGATGGCACATGCCTTTAATCTAAGCACTCTGGAGGTAGAGGCAGGAAGATCTCTGTGAGTTCAGCCAGCCTTGTCTACAGAGTGAGTTCCAGGACAAACAAGACTACACAAAGAAACCCCATCTAAAAAAGAAAATCTTTTATACTGTTTTTGCTCAATGTGGAGTAGAAGGTACAAGCAGACTCCCCATATCAAGTCTTCGTTTTTAATATTAATTTTTTTCATAAAGGGAAATTTAGATTGTAATACTAGAACTATATATTTCTCTTCAGTAACAAAGATTTGTTAGTCTAATGATGGTATAAAAAAGAATAATTAAAGCTGCAAAGAAAAGACCTATAACATAAAAAGACCTATAACATAATTTTAAAACAGATATTTTCATTTTTACTTAATTTTTCTTCTTTGATTGTCCAAATATTTCAGGCTATGAGATAGAGTGAATAAATTATGGTGGTGGTGAAAATGCTGACCTGTAACTATCACTTGATGCCCTGAGCATGAATAACTTGCTAGTTTATACATGTTTTCAGAATTTCAAACCATCAATGACTAAGTAGATAAAGGAAGACTAAATACATGCTTTCATACCTCCTGATAAATGAATAATTAGGAATATCTTTTTTTTTTAAAAAAAAAGCCTCTTGTTTCTTTTTTTTCTGGTGTGTGTGTGTGTGTGTGTGTGTGTGTGTGTGTGTGTGTGTCAGAGTTTGAACCATTTTTAAAGTTTATTTATTTGTTTATTCACTTTGTATCCCAGCTGTAGCCCTGTCTGTTGAACCCTCCCAATCTCACCTTTCCTCCTTCATATCTTCCCATGCCCCTCCCCAAGTCCACTGATAAGGGAAGAGGTCAGGTCCTCCTCCTATTCCATATGACCCTAGTTTATCAGGTCTCATCAGAACTGGCTGCATTGTCTTCCTCTATGAACTGGTAAGGCTACTTTCTCCTCAGGGGTAGGTGATCAAAGAGCCAGATGCTGAGTTCATACCAGAGATGGTCCCTGCTCCCCTTACTAGAGCACCCACTTGGACACTGAGCTGCCATGGGCTACATCTGTGCAGGGGTTCTAGGTTATATCCATGCATGGTCCTTGGCTGTAGTATCAGTCTCAGAAAAGACCCTGTGTTCAAATTTTTTACTTCTGTTGTTTTCTTTGTGGAGCTCCTGTCCCCTCCAGGTCTTTCCATCTCTCCCCTTCTTTCATAAGATTCCCTACACTCTGCCCAAAGTTTGGCTATGAGTCTCAGCCTCTTATTTCTTGTGTCTGAAAAAAAAAACTGTTATACAAACTCAAAACTTTTTGGGGAGCAGTGTTGTACAGATGGATCAGCAGTTAAGAGCATTTTCTACCCTTTTAGAAGATGCAGGTTCAGTTCCCAGCAACTGCAAAGGAGCTCACAACTGTCCTAACTTCAGTACGTGAAGATCTGACTCCCTCTCCAGGCTCTGTTGGTTCCAAGCATGCATTACACCATTTTCTTTCTCCCTTTTCCCCCTCCAGCCCCTCAACTTCACAGCCACTGATGCCTATCTGAAGGTCTTCTTTGGTGGCCAAGAGCTTAGGACCAATACAATATGGAATAATAACAACCCCGAGTGGGCCAACAGGCTAGACTATGGGGATGTGCTCCTGGCCACAGGGGCACCCCTGAGGGTACAAGTCTGGGATGCCGATCATAGTTGGGATGATGACCTTCTTGGTTCTTGTGACAGGTCTCCCAACTCTGTTTTCCATCAGGTGGATTGTGGCCTGAACCACAGCAGTATAAAACTATCAACTATCATCTCTCCAACCCTCCCACACACTTTACCCACTCTCAAGTTGGTGTGTGTGTGTCTGTGTCTGTGTGTGGGGGGGTGTTTATGATTTCAGCTCACCACTTTAGATTGGGACAACCAATAAAGGAGTTTTTTGTCTAGGGTTGTGACCTCATGAAATTCTCCACCTGTCGACATTAATATGTCCACTGCTACTGCCATTGTTTGGGTCTTGTTTATGCAGCCATTCCTTGAAGACACTGTTTCACTACAGAGTTCCTGATATTTTGGCTTTTATATTCTTTCAACTCTCTGTTCCACTGTGTTCCTTGAGCCTTAGACACAGAAACAGTAATATCCTGTCCATTGGGGCTGGGATGTATACTGTCTGTTAATCTGTGTTCAGTTGTGGTTTTCTGTGATGATCTCCATTTGCTGTTGAGGTGTCTTTGATGAGGGATGTTTTCATCACACCACTTTCCAAGAAAGATGGCTCATATACAAACAAATTTCCAGGGCTATAGTCCTGAAGCTAGGCTTTTGGGGTTTGTAGATAGTGGTGAGTAGGGGTAAGGGGCTGGAGAAAAAAAGTTTCTTACCAGGAAAGGTGGCTCAGGCACAAAGAAAATATTAAACCTGCATTTTTAAAAAGCTGTGCACCCTTTATTAAAAATATTGCTTTTAGTAAACACATTAAAATAGTACATAAGTGCTTGCTTCGGCAGCACATATACTAAAATGGGAACAATACAGAGAAGATTACTATGGCCCCTGCGCAAGATGACACCCAAATTCGTGAAGCATTCCGTATTTTTTGGCTGGATACAAAATTAACTAAAAAAAAAAAAAATCAAAAGCCCTCCTGTATACCCAAGAAAAAAGGACCGAGAAAGAAATCAGGGAAACAACACCCTTCACAATAGCCACTAATAACATAAAGTACCTTGGTGTGACTCTAACCAAGCAGATGAAAGACCTGTTTGAGAAAAACTTCAAGTCTCTAAAGAAAGAAATCGAAGAAGACATCAGAAGATTGAAAGATCTCCCGTGCTCATGGATCAGTAGGATTAACATAGTGAAAATGGCCATCCTGCCAAAAGCAATCTACAGATTCAATGCAATTCCCATCAAAACACCAACACAATTCTTTACAGACCTTGAAAGAAAAATTCTCAACTTCATATGGAGAAACAAAAAACCCAGAATTTCCAAAACAATTCTGTACAACAACAGATCCTCTAGAGGTATCTCCATCCCTGATCTCAAGTTGTGCTACAGAGCAATAATAATAAAAACTGCTTGGTACTGACATAGAAACAGAAAGGTGGATCAATGGAACCAAATAGAAGACCCAGAAATAAACCCACACACCTATGAATACTTGATTTTTGACAAAGAAGCCAAAACGATTCAATGGAAAAAAGACAGTATCTTCAACAAATGGTGCTGGTCCAACTGGATGTCTACATGCAGAAAAATGAAAATAGATCCGTATTTATCACCCTGCACAAAACTAAAGTCCAAGTGGATCAAAGACCTCAACATAAAACTAGATACTCTAAATCTGTTAGAAGAAAAAGTGGGGAAGACCCTAGAACTCATTGGCACAGGAGACAACTTCCTGAACAGAACATCAGCAGCAGGCCCTAAGAGCAACAATCAATAAATGGGACCTCATGAAACTGAAAAGCCTCTTTAAAGCAAAAGACACTGTCTTTAGAACAAAATGACAGCCTACAGATTGGGAAAGGATCTTCACCAACCCAACATCTGACAGAGGGCTTATATCTGGAATATATAAAGAACTAAAGAAGTTAAAAAGCAATAAATCAAGTAATCCAATTAAAAAAATGGGGTATGAGGCTAAACTGAGAATTCTCTGTAGAAGAATGTAGAATGGCAGAAAAACACATAAGGAGATGTTCAACATCCCTAGCCACCAGAGAGATGCAAATCAAAACGACCCTGGGATTTCACCTTACACCCATCAGAATGGTTAAGATCAAAAACTCAAGAGATAATGCATGCTGGAGATGCTGTGGAGAAAGAAGAACCCTCCTCCATTGCTGGTGGGAATGTCAACTGGTACAACCACTCTGGAAATCAATCTGGCGCTTTCTCAGACAATTAGGAATAGTGCTACCTCAAGATCCAGCTATACCACTCCTAGGCATATATCCAAAAGATGTTCAAGTACACAAAAAGGACATTTGCTCAACCATGTTTGTAGCAGCTTTATTCGTAATAGCCAGAACCTGGAAACAACCCAGATGTCCATCAATGGAAGAAATCAAAAACAGAAATTGTGGTACATTTACACAATGGAATAATACTCAGCAATTAAAAACAAGGAAATCATAAATTTTGCAGGCAAATGGTGGGATCTAGAAAAAAAATCATCCTAAGTGAGGTATCCCAAAAGCAGAAAGACACACATGCTATATCCTCACTTATATAGACCTATAAGATAGGATAAACATACTAAAATATGTACACCTAAAGAAGATAAACAAGAAAGAGGTCCAGGGATAAGATGATCAATCCTCATCTAGAAAGACAAAGGGGATGGACATTGGAAATAGGAGAAAACAAGTAACAGGACAAGTAGCCTACCGCAGAAGGTACCTGAAAGACTCTACCTAGCAGTGTATCAAAGCAGATGCTGAGACCCATAACCAAGCCTTCGGCAGAGTGTAGGGAATCATATGAAGGAAGGAGGAATTAGTATATCCTAGAGGGGACAGGGAGCCCCACAAGGTCCAAATATATCTGAGCACAGGGGTCTTCTCTGAGACTGTTTATCCAACCAAGGACCATGCATAGACATAACCTACAACCCCTGCTCAGACATAGCCCATGGTAGCTCAGTATCCAAGTGGGTTCCCTAGTAAGGGGGACAGGAATTGTTTCTGACATGAACTCATGAGCTTCCCCTCCTCTCTGAGGGAGGAGAAGCCTTGCTAGGCCACAGATAAGGACATTGCAACCATCCTGAAGATACCTGATAAGCTAGGGCCAGACAGAAGGAGAGGAGGACACCCCCTCTCAGTGGACTTGGAAGGGGGCAGGGAGGAGATGAGGGAAGGAGGGGAGAATTGGGAGGGAAAGAGGGAGAGGGCTACAGCTGGGATACAAGTAAATGTATAAAATTATTTAAAAATAAAAAATATTAAAAAATAAAATAAAATAGTACATAATAGTTGACAAAGATTTTTGAAAAGGAACTTCTATTATAAAAAAATCAACTCTTGAAAATTTTATATATATACTTGTGTGTGTGTGTGTGTGTGTGTGTGTGTGTGTGTGTGTGTGTGTGTGCCTAAACATTCCTGGAAAATGTAGAAAAGCCACAAGAATGTTCAACAGTGGAAGAAGAGAATACAGATGTTCCATATCACTAACCATTCCCAGCAGAGGCATATGGTTCCAGAAACTAGAGGAGATAAAAGGGGATTATCTTTCTCTTTAATTTTATAAGCAGAAGAAGCAGTCAACAAAAAGATGACAAAGACCTATTGTGAACCTAGGTCGTCTTAGGCTTAAAACTTAAAAGTAACAAAGAAAGGACAGAAATACAAGGTTGTGGCTCATATGTGACATGCTATGGAACAGCAAAATAGGAGGAGAGAGGAGCACCTTCCTCTCTGGGTGACTATAGTCATGAGAATGACTGACTGGATCAATGGATGAGTCCACATTCTAAAGACTCGCACTGCTAAGGCATGCAAGACTGAGGAAGCCATCTCAGAAGCCACAGCCAGGAAAACTGGCAAATATAATCATACAGCAGCAGCTTATTGTACATTCATGCTATGGAAATGACAGTGTTGGGGGGAGATGTGTGCCAGTGTGCTGAGCCTCAGATGGCGGCTCCTACACTGTCTATTCCATCAGAGCAATCTTATTCTGTGCCTATCATGTTTTTATGTTTGCCAATATGCCTAATAAGGTTGGGAGGGGAGGGGCCATACGTATCTTGTTGTCACCAACAAATCTCAAAGAAAACTCTAAGAATCTGGTGGGAGAGATTCGACTTCCTGACCTAGAAAAGTCCTTTCTCCAGTCCATCCTCTGAACTGAGCATGATGGCACAGGGCCACAGTCTTCCTTGGCAGCCATCCTGTAGCTCAGGGTCTCGCACACCGAAAAGCTGAAGGTGGCAAAGCACAACATGGAAACACTCTGCCTCCTTGAAATGCCACAAGCTCAGATTCCCAGACTGACCACTTCAGGGACTAATTAAAGATGTTTAAAAGTAGAAAAAAACGCCCTTTCCTTTTCTTTTACATAATATTTTATTAATTCTTTGAAAAATATCATGGAATACATTTTGATCATATTCATCTCCTTCCTCCAACTCTCCCCAGGTTCACCCCATCCATCCTCACTTCTTTACCCACTCAATTTCGAATTTCAAATTTTCTTTTTTTTTTCTTTCTTTTTATGAAAACCCATTGGGTCCAATTTGGATTACCCAACTACTCTTAGCAAAGGAGGCCATATATGTGTATAATATGCATGTATTATTTTAACATTTTTTTGTTTATTATGTCCGACTGAATCCAACCCTTGCTGACCATATTCATGGATGTAGACACATGTACTGGAACATCATTGCTATGCTGGGGACCACACCTTTAGAGAAAATTGACTCTTCCTCAACTGTCCAGCAGCAAGGGGTGGGGCTTATGAGCCACATCTCCCTCCTTGCTGGGATGCCCATTGGCTTGATCTTGTGCAGATCTTGCACAGGCCTGTGAGTTCAAGAGTGCACCCAGAAGACACTGCTTCACTCCAGTTCTCCCAACTTCTGGTTCTTACAGTCTCCCTGCCCTTCCCCTCTTCTACAAAGACTGTTAAGCCTTGAAGGCTGGAGGTCTGACACAGATATCCCACTTATGGCTGAACACTCTGTACACATTTATTCTCTGCACCTGAGTTCGTTGTGGGCCTCTGCGTTAACTCTCATACACCGCACATCAAGTTTTTTTGGTTAAGACTGAGAAGTTTGTTATCGATAGGTCTAGTGATATTTTTATCTCTCAATCTGCACACGAATCAATTCTAAACATATCAAAGACCTCAGCGCTAAACCTGAAACTCCTCTCCTAGAGGAAAGAGGAAGGATTATATTTGAGGCTATAGGGATAAATTAAAAATAAATCATGGACAATTATACCCTGCTCTGCTCTGGCTATCATGGAGATGAGTTGGGGTGGGGGGTGATGAAGAGACAATATTCCTCTGGTAAAGAGAGGCCAGAGAATTCATATTCAGGATATATGTCTATACTACTTCTCCATCTGGTAATGAACTTTCCCATAGTATTATGTGAAGGAAATGACATGTTCTTCTTTAATAGAAGCAATACTAAAGAAGTAAAAAGAAAAAAAACCTGCCAAAACAGTCAACAGACTCTTCAATCGATTCTGTATCTTGCCTATGACATTTTGTTTTGTTTGACCTCTATGTCAGTGAATTTATTAAATGCAAACATTTTGCTTCTTAGAGACATCAGGGAATTCAGTAATGCCTAAAAATCTCTCAAACGATTTGTATGTGTAGAGCTTTGCAGTTTAATTTAAGTGTGTGTATGTGTGCATACGTGTATAGAGGAGGTGGAGGGAGAGATAGAGGAGAGACATCACATTTAAAGATGGAAGCTACATTTTATATTTACCTTCCATTTTAAATTCCCCAAGCTTGGTGAACTTCTGCAAGCCAATGTGTTATGTTTACTGGACAAAATACAATCTCAATAAATATTCATTTTTTTTCTGCAGACATATTATATTACTCAGGTATTGTATAATAT